TACAGGGATTTAACAGAAATGGTTTAAATCCCTGTAAAGGTATACATTTCAGTATTGGAATATCATTATTTCTATTTAGTTGAAACAAAACTGAAAAAAGAAAGTCAGTAACTAACCAACTAACTAACAAATTCAGGCTTTCCACTATATTTTTTCTCACCTGTTTAAATTGCATTAAAATGTGACTTAGATTTAAAAAGAGTATTTTCTTTTGGAATGGGGATAGCCCAAACTGAACTTCATCAGACCAGAAAGAAAATGCTACAAACACTTTTCCACACCATTTTATAATTACCTCACTCCCCAAAAGAAGGTAATGCCCTTGTCTATGGAAACAATGATGTCTTAGTACTGTGGCCTATTGCATATTTTCCAGACTGTGGCCTTGGCCACTTAAACTGAGACAAGACAGCTGCTCTGCTTAGAATCATAAACTTAGTTTGCAAATAACTGTCCTCACTTCAGAAAGAAAGTAGTTACACAAAACAGTGAGAATAACAGTACCTTCATGTAGACATGTAATAGTTGGGAAGACAGAAATTTCCTTCACCAAAAAATATACTTTAGCACATTCCAAGCCAGTCCACAATGAGGGCAATGTTAGTTTTTAAAATCCTCTCCCTGTTGTTATTGCACATGGCATTACATTGTACTGTACAGTGTGTGGTGATGAGAAATTCCCTGCTTATTTAATTGTGATCCTTCAATGAATTTGAAAGGGAGCACTTTATTTCCATTTCTTTAATTTACTAGTTCTTTAGCTGATGATTTTATTAACTCTTGTATTTGAGAACTGATGCTTAACAAAAAAAGGGGAAGGAAAAAAGGCCCTTGGCAGTATTGTGAAGGCCTGGAACTGAATAATGCACTTTAATAATGAGGAATAGAGCTATGGCTTTTGCTGATGGCTGTGACCGGCTCTGTGACCTGATTATGTCGCAGAGTGTCAGCAGCTGAGACACTACAAAAGGGAGCGCATCCCATCAAATCTATCTCCATTGTAATCACTCGCACTGCTGAGAGCCTTGTTAGGAGCAGGGAATCCATCAGGCCTCATTAGCACCGTTTACCATCAAGAAGCTCAAAGAGCAAATGTGTATCCTCTCATCAGAATAATGAGAACCAAAGTACTCCTATTATCTAATTGGATCAACAATGCCTCTCTCTCTAGTTTCCTGAGCTACTTGTGGACTACAACACTCAAAAATTAGTTATTTTTTTTGTTAAGTACCAGGGTGGACATGTGCTTAAGATTTTTCTTATACAGGAGATTTTCATATCTAAAGAGAAAGGCATGGGCACAACGAAGCCTGAGTTTCTTCAGGAACATTCTTAGATTATAATGAAACAAACCCAATTAATTCACTGTTCAATTAAACTGTGGACAATACAATTACACCCTATAAACTTAGATTTCCCTTTTAATCTCCCAGGAAACAGACTATTGCCCTCTTTATCCACAAGGCAGTTCATCATGCCAACTGTTATCATGCTACTCTTTTCTTTTATGGTAAAATGTTATTTTGCAACTGCTGAATTTAGTGCCATTTTTTTCCTGTTAGACAACTCCCATCTTTCCAAAAGAGAAACTAAACTTACTCAGTACCCACAGTTATAATGCATTTGATCCTGCTGAAGTCAAGAGACATATATGAATGCAACTGATAATTAAGAAACCATATTAATCAACCTTACTTTCATATTTCTGTGGCTTATTTCCTGACAAATATTATGACAAGAGCCAAAGCACACATTTCACATACTTGATAAACATAGTAAAAACCAACACAAAACTCCTGATTTTTTCTTTCATTTGCAAAACCAACATAAAAAAGAGATATGTTGTGTTATTATCAGAAGAATCCAAGGGCAGCAATGGCACTAGGTTCCTACTGTAAGGGCAGGCTGAAGCTGAATAGGTAGACAATCTCTTTGAAATCTACTGACAGGGTGCAATCTGGCAAACCTGCTGCCCTGGCCCTTAAATTTAAGAAATGAAAGCCCAGTGCTGCATACACTTCCTGGAAAGTGCTGAGGGCAAACAGAATGTAAGCAGTGTTACATGGGCCAATAGCTCTTCATAATATGCCTCTGAAAATGAAAATTTGATTTAGAGTCCTCTACCTGTACTATATCAAATTAATCAGGTGATCTAATCATATTGTTTCAATGGATTAAATCTCTTGGCTTGGTCTTGGGAAGCTCTGGTATTGCAGTTCATATTGCCATCCAAAGCAAAGGAAGAAAAATAAATAAACATGCCATAACAGTGAATTCAATAATTAAGGAAGTAACAAATATGTTATAAAAAATATTGCTAATATATATGATTTTGTTACTGTAATTGTAAGAACTCCTAGACTATTGGAAATTAAGGCCATGCCATATGTCATTTAAAGGATCATTTCCCTTAAATTTGCCATAGAATCTTGGATTTGACCTAGAGCTTAATGTCTCCAGGGATTACTGATCACCATATATTTAGCTAGACAGATGGACATTTACAAGCCCTGAATATCTGCAGCAGAAACAATGTGTCATTACAAAGATTGCACGTACCAACATTCTAGTAACTCATTCAGCTTTATGTTTTTGGGAGTGAGTTTTGGGTATCACACTTGTGATTCCTTGAAGGGGTGATTGACAAAGGTCAGATTCTTAACATATGGTGCAAATCTGGCTCTTTAGTGACTCTGAGCAGATTATTCAGAAATGGAGCATTTCAAATTACTATTCATTTATGCTCCCAATTTTGAACAAACATCTTTTCGTTCTTGGTTAGGTGCTGTAATTCTATTAATTTGAAGGGAATGTTGTTTAATTTCTGGAATGCAGATAAATTATACTGACTAGTCCTGTTTTAAGGCAGAATGTTCTCTAAGTAAGATGAGTTTATGCCAAATATTATAAAACTGTGTGTTATATTACACACTTACTATCAATATTTATCCATATCATGGCAAAGTCTGCAGTACTGATTACAAACCAAGGAACATTTGCAAAAACAAGTAATAAAATGCAACCCTTATTTAAAAGACCAAGGCAGATAGCTAGGTGCTGTAATTTTATTCCAACAACAGGGAAGATTGTTCCTTTCCTTTCTCTGCAACCTGTGGAATTATTGGACTATTCCATTATGTCTGGAATAAACAAGACTCAGCCTGAGTGAAACTTCCATCCAGCAATATCTTCTTAGTAGTATTTTTTTAAGGATACAATGAATAAGGATACACACAGATTATGTTTTCTGTGGAGAACATGTAAAGGAAAAGCTATAAAAAAATTAGTCTACATTCATAACTTCTGCTCTTACAGTGAACATCTTTGTCGAGTGCCTCATATGTGAGTGGCGAATGTGAACCATTTCTGGAGCACAGAGGAGATAAAAACAAGCAGGCTTCTAGGTTGGAGCTGATCTGACTATGAGTTATAGGTATTATAACCAACTTTTCTCCCAAACCAATACCCCATCCCTCCAGAAATCTTAATAGGCTTTTGAGAGCCTCCATTTAAAGCTGGCTGCATAAAATGATCCTTTGATGAAAAGGGATTGAAACAAGGGTTAAAGTAGACATTGAAAGGTTATTGTAGAGGGCACATTGTTCATACAATCCTCCTTTAATATGTGTGGTGTGCACCTGCGATAAGATGATTCATTAGATAAGGCCTCACTTTGACAAGCTCCATCGTTCAACCCTCGGGGTAGTGATGGAACAATTCTGCACCCACCCAGTAAATATAACAAGGTCAGCATTTTTTTTTCCTGGGACTTGGATGGTGATAGTGAAGCTCAGGAAGCATCCTTGTTTATGTGTCCTGTTAAAAAAACCGGGGGGATGTGGGGTCCTATAAAGTGTTGACTTCTATTTTTTAATGGGCCAAAATAAAAAACCTTACTCTTGTTCCAATTAACTAGCAGAAAATTACCAGGAGAAAAGCGGCTCTTCCTTTTTTTTCCCTCCTCACTAGTAAACAGTAGGAATAGAAACTAAACTTTAGATTCACATATCATCCAAGCTGCATTATTTCAATAAATATTTTTCAAGACCTAACATCCACATAAACACTGTGGATATCAGTCCATGTCCAATTTGTAGAATTTAGAATGACATGCAAATGACTCAGTCACCAGTTATATTGAGAGATTTTTTTGCAGAGAAAGAAGACATTGTGTTAATTTTAGCCTTAATAAATGCAATAAAGAATGAAAGTGGTCACAATCTGAAAGTCACTTAAATACGCTGTATCAAAGGAATTATTTTTGTATATATAGATTCAGATGTGTATCTTTCTGCATAATACTAATACTGAAACGGAAATGGTTTGAACAAATAAACAGCTTCAAAATGTAGGTAATGCGTAATCTCTCTCTTAGACACAGTAACTCTTAAACAATGCTCAAGTTAGTGTTTGGAAATTTTTTAAAAAATCAAAATAATCTTCCAAATTTGCATACAGGCTGGCATATTCATTGCAAATTGCTTAACATAGCTAATAAGCAAATGAGTAAGCCGCTCAGATAAGTCCAACCCTGATACTTCATTACAATTTATTTTCCTTTACTAGAAACATTTAATGGCTTTTAAGAAATTATGTAATACAGAAATTCCATAGAAATGCAAAAAAGTGAAACACATTACTGCTTCAGTAAAGGTGTCTACTATTAGGCATATATAAATGGAAGAAGTATGTGTGTTAAGAATCAGTCCAGATTCTGCTGGACTTTTAAAATACCATGGTATTGCACTACTGCGATATTTTTAAAGAGCTGAAACAAAATAAAAGAAACCCTTAGCCTCTTCTAGCTTGAAAACACTCTTAAAGAGTGCCTAACTTCCCTCCGTTTCTCAGACTTTCCATTTCTTACCTTGTCTGGCAAATCAATATTTATTTATCTTCAACATGTGCACTTTTAAATTGCTGTCATACAAGCGGAACTCATTTTTGTCCCAAGATCAGCCTGCCATCAGAATTCACTGTTTGCTCCATCTTCTACTCACCTGTCCTTGTGCATTAGTGACGAGCTGGCCTGTGACCCCCTGAAGACTGGAGAGGGCGTTTCCAAAGGCCTGGGAGTTTGCTATTGAGCCCATGGCTGCTGCTGCAGCTGCTGCTGCTGCTTGACTTGCTAGTGGATTATTAACCAGCTGGAAAAAAAAAAAAGGAAATATCATTATAAAACCCATGATAAACATATAATGCTAAGTGGATAATATAAAAGTGACAGCACAGTAACGTTTATATTATTTTAATGTTTTTTACCCAGTTAATTGTGTGCAAAAAACCTGCCTGCTCCAAGAGCTCAAGTTGGAGAAGTTCTTACTTCTGGGGCTTTGAAAAGAAATAGTTTTAAAAAAGGAAGAGGAAATTCCATGTTGATGTTGAAGAATAAAATTCCCCTTTTTAGCCCTATATTCTCTTCCTTTTTTTTTTTTTTAAATTGAGTTATGCTTGATGTGTTTCTTTAGGCTCAAGTTGCCTATGCCACAGGTGTAGCAGCTTAGTACTGCTGTAAAGAGCAATCAGTGAAAGATGAGCACTTGATTTGACTGGGAGTGGAATGTTTACTTGGGGATATTCAGAACAGAAACTATTTTACTGATGACCCCAAACCCAAGAAAAGTCTGCAAATCCTTTTAATTTTTACCATTAAATAATTTGTCTCCATATCTAGGTAAATCACAATAGAAGGCTCAACCTTGTGAGGTCAGTAGATATCAACTAAAAATTCAAAATTCATTTGCAAAATAAGCAACATGTTGCTTCTGAAATATGAATGATTAGTCCCAGGACTCATAAATTTGAATATTTAGGATTCATAATAATAGGAAATAATTTGTATTGCCTGCTTTAGTCAATCCTACCACAATGCTCCATAGAAAGCACAGAGCATGGTCATGGCTTTCATCTTAGGAGACTAGGGGAATCCCACAGAGGAACACTCCTATCAACTCCTGTGCTTATCAAGCATACAAAATATGTGTTCCTATGTCATGGACATGGCTTTGGACATGGCTTTTCCACTGGATTATTGTGACGTTTCTTATCCTTTTCGGAGAAAGGACAAACTTTGAGCCAAACACACAGGGATGACAGTAAAAAAATAAATGTTGGGAACCATCATCACTTGGACAGCTGTCTTGAGAGCAATCAAATTGAGTTCAAGAGGCTGAAAATACATTTTAGAGTGGCTTTGCCTCCTAAGAATCATTGCATTATAGCAGAACTTGCAAAATACACATTAGCAGGGTAGAGCAGCCGGAAGTCTGAGGGACAAAACAGTCTAGGGACATTTTTTCTTAGACTGAGATGAAAATGCTAGAGATAACTTGGAAAAGCTTTATGTTTGAGCTGAAATTAGTAGGAGTTCTAAGTCCTTAGATGACAAGTGAATTATCAATCTTTTAGAAATGGAGACTCACAAGCAGCAGGAAGGGATATACTCCATAGACAGGCTCTGCTTCAAAATAGGTTATAAAAAATTAATCAGTGATTAGTAGATGTTTTAAGCATGTTACAGATATGAGTAGTGTGTATGTTATAGACGTTTAGAAGCCCATCAATAGAAGATGTCAGATATGGTTATAATCTATGCTTATAAGAAACCTACTTGTCTGTTGGACATTGCAAAATCTACAATTGATTGGTCATACATTAAAACATCTATTAATCATTCATTAGCCTCTCATGAAGTATTTATAAATGCAACCTTGATATAAAGTGTTGCTTAAAGGGGTGTCTTGAGCACATCCAATCCCTCTAGAAATTGTAAAGTAAATAAGTAAATAAAGATTAGTAGCAATGCCAGACAGAAAAGATGACATTGTTTGGAGGAAATATTTTGGTTTGGAAGAAACTGTTATATGAATCTCTAAAAGCAGTTTAGAGCATCCCATGGCAAGAAAATTAAGCAGGAATAAAACACAAAAGGGGAAAATTGCAATGCGTGCTTGATTAACAGTCTCGATGAGCTGTCAGCTCAGTACAATGACCAATGTGAAACTCAGTCCCTGAATGCAGACTGAAAGAAATTCCACTGACTGCACAAAGGTGTGAGTGCAAAAGTAGCTGATGCACTTTTCAGTGTGGTGGTGCCTGAGCACAGCAGTCTAATTCCAGAGAACAATATAAACAAACTGGCTTGTTTTCTGCTCAAAACAGTGGCATTTTTTTTTATTGTCCCAAACAGAAGTTGGCAAACCCTGTTTTTTTTTTAATTTCACAGAACTTTGCTGACAGTACTGGTACTTGAAGAAATTTTCTTATAGCAGTAAATACTTGGAGAAGAAAGGGGCAGCAGCATGAGTGTAAGACTTTCAGAAAAGGCCTTCTACAATTGTATTAGCAACCCACAAATTACTGTACCTCTGATCCTACAGCATCTGACTACAGGTATAAATGATAATCTTTGGACAGTTACCCAACATCAGCTAATAAACTGCACTATCTGCTATATTCAGGGCTCCAGAGGCGTACAAGAACAGCTGCTTGGGAAGCATAAATAAGCTTGTAAATCTGGAAACTACAAAGGGTTAAAACCTTCTAAAAATCAGACTATCACCTTCTAGAATCTCTTTTCCATTTTTCTTGCACCAGCTTTCAAAAAATGTACATTTTCAAATACAACAATAAAATTTAATTACAACAAACCCTGGAGACACTCAGGATTGCTTTTAGTTGCATCACAGAGATAAGCTACTTATTAAAAATGATGGCAAAGGCTGTGATATGCATAGGTACCCTGCATAGTACCATGTTCCAGGAAAAAATACAGGGAATGGGCCAAATCACAGGGTAAGAGACTTCAAAGTGCATATGAAAACACCCCTATCTATTCATAAGTCTGATTAAAAAGGAGAGGATGCATTTTATTTTGAGTGCATTGGGGAGCTGTTGACTGCAAGTTACGCTCTATTCAATTGACCCCTTTTATACTGTGTGCAAACTGGGGATGAAGAAATACATCTCATTTCATTATGTTTGGACACCAAGATAACACATTGAATCTTCCTTTTATTTAAAAAATAAGATCTTTAACTTGAGAGGTTTATGCAATTTCTCAGTGAAGGTTGGATCCCCAAGAATACATGTTGGAAATATTGGAAATATATTGTGAAAAATCCCACAAAAGGCTCTACCCATTTTGTTTCTGTATTTAAACAATTTTAATTTGGAAGGCTGAAATATTTGGAGCTGTCGATTCCAGTGTCCAAATCTCTTCTCCAACTCAAAACACCAGCCATAACACTTAGTAATATTAATCTTTGTTTAAAGTAACAAGCCAGCCCTCTCAATGATGCCTCTGCTAATGACATGGTTTTATGAGGAAGAAAATTTTATGTGGAAGAATCTTCAATAACTGAGTAGACATAGTAAATTTTTCTGAATTCCCAAAGCTGAACTTTTAAAGGTAAAGCATATGAAAATTGTCTACTTTAAGCCAGTAAAAGCAGAAGACATTCCAGTGCAGCACACAGAATTCACACAAATAAAACTTATCTGAGAAATTCAGGTGGATGAAAGAGGCACTACTTACAAGATGCAAAAACTTTGCCATGCAAAGCCAGAGTTTCTTTGGTTAAGAGATAGTCTTCAAAAAACCCAATTTGAAGAAAAGTGTGTTAGACTCAATGCTGCAAGCAGCTTTCTTGAGAGCCAAAAATAATTTTTACTTTTGGAATAATAACATCTTCCTCTTTATATTGAAAACTAACTTACTATTTCATTAAACTTGCTGTGAGAAACTGATCTAGCATTCATATATGTGTTGTTGAATACAAGGTCAGATTTGATAACCCACACAGTAATTTTACCTTGTAAAAGGCATGTCCTACTGAACTTTCAGTCTCCTGGTCTGGAAATCAAAGAGTAAGTTTTACTCATTACAGTATCAGCCAGTCAAATACAAAGAAAAAAACCCGAAGAGTTTTACTAGTGAAAAGTCAAGACATTCCAGGATGCCAGAGCATCACAGGAAAAAATGGGCATGTAACTTGAAGGGTAAAGACACTTTACACACTGCCAGTATATAGATCTTGTGTGTTTTCTACAGCACTTGTGGGGGAGGCTGAGTAAGGACATGCTGCTATCTGAATGCAGCAATGGAGAATATGAAGGACATATTGCAGAGTAACTTCAGGCATAACTTCATTTTACAAAATAGTATTAGTGTTTTTCAGGAAGACTGTTAAAAATCACATTTCTGGATATCTCCCAGAGATGGAATTAGTGTAGAAAAGTATTACATTTGATTAGGGACCAACAGATCCTCAGTCTCTTATGTTCTCTGACAAACTCTTCTGTAGGGAGCATCACACTACTAGATTAGCTGCTGAGATTATTTGCTTAAACCAATGTTTTTCAAGGGAAAACAAATATCTCTAACAGATGAGGAGAATTCAGCAACAGCTCTCTGTCCGAAACACATGACATTTTTCTTTTCTACCCATAATGAGGGAAAATTTTATTGACAGAAATTAATTTTTTATCACCATGGCATGTGCTTTTGTAGGAATTTTTTGACAAGAATCTAAAATCCGAATTTTATTGTATTTAGCTGATGAGAGAATTACAGGTTAAAATACAGTGGGATTTATTCCCAGCTTTTCTCAATGGCTTGTGAGACAGATTCTGGGTAGTAGTCACTGGACCTTAAGGAAACAGACAGTTTCATACTCAGCACAGGCTCCTGAGGATATTGATACTTTCTTTGTTACAGTGACTATCATTATCATTTTGGGTATAGATGGAAAGGTTCTGGTAGTGGAGCAGCTGCAGAGGAGGAGGATAAAAAAACCCAGAGGAAACAGCAAAACAAAGGGAGCAGCAAGGTTAGAGAAAGGAGAAGGAGTTGTCCCACATCTGTGAAAGTGTCCCCACTCTAGTCCTTGGAGGACACTAGAGAAGGCAAATGGGTATTTCCTGATGAGAACTGTGATCTGTGGAGTGGCCATGCAGGAGCAGGGGAAAAGTGTAAAGAGAAAGGAGCAAGAGAGGGGAACTATTAAGGACTGACTGTAGCTCCACATTGAGAGTGGGTAGAGAAGTCAGGAGTGAAGGACTGAAGTCTGGGAGAGTGGGGAGAAAAGCTGTTTTAATACTTGTCTTTGTTTCTCACTTAATTGTTACTGTTTTTGAGTTAATTACA